TGCTGGACTCAATAATCACAGCTTATTTTTCAGCCCCAACTAACCAAAATCCATTATCCCAGTAAAGGAAGGTCTCTCTTCTAAAAATTCTTTTTTTTCTTCTAAAAATTCTTAATCCAAAATGTCACATGAAAAGCTGTGATAGTCTTTGTTCCCCTAAAATTTCCTAAGTGAGGCCTCCATTGTCTGCATTGTTTTCAACTTTCTCATCTTCTAGGCTACCAAAGAATAGCCAATTAAACTCTGAGTACTCAATGGCTTTTCTAACCCCAAACTCCAAAATCTTTCCACGGTCCTCCCCCCAAAACAACATGGTCAGGTTCTTTACAGCAATAGTGTATACCACCATGTTGGCTGTGTTTTCAATTTATCATTTAACCATGTGACAGGCAGAATTTCACTGAGTACATACACAGATCTACCTCTACCACTTTACTACTGCATAATATTTTTTACTGAGTCATAGTTTATTTAAATATTTCCCTTTTGATGAACATTTATTTTGTTTATAATTTGTTTCTGTAACAAAACATTTTCTGGTTAGTAATAAATTATTACAAGCTTGGTGATTCACATTTACTTATTTGTGTATGTGTACATGTGTCTGTGCGTGTGTGGAGGTCAGGGGACAACTTGTGGGAATCAACTCTCTCCTCCACCATGTGGGACCTGTGGATGGAATTCAGGTCATCAAGCCTGGGAAGTGCCTTTGCCTACTGAGCTATCTCACCTACCCAAACTAGTGATCTACAGCAACAAAAATATATTCTCTCAGAGTTCTTGAGCCCAAAAATTTAAAACTGCAGCGCCAGTAGTGCTGCTTCCTTCTGGAGACCTAAGAGAGCCCAGTTCATGCCTTCTAGCTTCTAGGGGCTAGGAGCTATCCTTGGCATCCTTTAGCTTGCTGATGTTGCACACCAGTTTTAATATGGCCTTCTCCACTGTGTCTCAAGTCTCCCACTTCTTTCTCTTTCAAGAATACTGGTCTCATTTCAAGATCCACCTCAATTACATCTTCAAAGACTGCTATTTCATCTAAGGTCACAATGTGAGGTTCCGGGTAGAAATAGCCTCAAGTGGCTACTCTTAGAGATACTACAGTACACACGAGACTGTGTCAGATAAGGTGAAAATTATACTTCTAAATTATATTCCAAAAAGTCTGAAAATTTTCAGTTCCACCAACAGAACAGCAAAGTGTTCTCTCCTCCATGTTCTTGCCAACTTTTAAGTCTTTTGCTAAGTTGATGAATGAGGGAAAAAATAATGTCCCTCCCCGTGGCACAATAAAGCCTTGAAGTTCACTACAAAATAATGTATCATCAGTTTCATTTGTCTATTTTTACTAATATGTAGCTACAATTTCTTCAAGTCAATCACTTAGATAACTTTGTTAACATTCACTTAATAAAATTTTAAAGTGTTTATTTAGTCAGCACTATCAAATGTTTCCTTAATGGTCTCCAGGTTTTGTTTAACATTTAATTTTAAATTATCTAAACATTATGTGGCACAATAAAATATGATAAATATAGTATGTGTGAGCTGCAGAAGCAAATTCTACTGTAAATGCTTTATGAAAGAGAAAATACACGAGGAGACAAAATGCTCTAGACTGAAATACAGAAGAGGAACGAGGGAGAGATTTGGAGGAGTATCCATTTAACAGTTACTGCCATGGGAGAAGAAATGTAAGATGTCATTTCTACCCTCCAGAAGTTCATAATTCAAATGGAAGTATTTTGAGCAGCAATGACTTAAGAAAAATAGTAATTCGTTTCAAAAAATAAAGTCCAAGGAACTAACAACATAACACTTTTGATAGTCTGAAAAGATAAAGAATTCATGAACTTTTGCAAAGCAAGTTTACCTGTCTAACTGGCACTGAGCTAAAGAACAAGGAGGCCTCCAGAGCCCCACCCTTCCTTCCGAGCACACTACCAAAACTCCTTTCATCTGAACCTCAGGTTACCCGAATCACGGTTACATTTGTATGAATGAAATGCACACTGTGTATTTCTTTTTCTAAAAACATGTTTGATTCAAATTGCAAACATTACTGCATGGTCTTCCACTGTGTGAACATTCAGGGCACCACCTTCCTGTCCTATCAATCATGGGTAGTTTCTACAGTTCCCAGTTCTGGACTGGGATGAAAAGGCACTGCTGTGAATGTTCTAGCACATATTTTTTTTGGTAAACACCCTTTCATTTCTGTTAGAAATGTACTAGGACTAGTGCTGCTAGGTCATAGAATATATATACATTCAGCTTTAGTAAATACTGCCAAATAATTTTCCAAGACTTCTAGTTTGCGATACTCTTGTCAATATTTATTTTCTATCTTTTTCATTTAGTCACTCTGGTGGGACTGTAGCAAACAAAATTATTATGAACAATATGACAATTCAGATAATAGCCAACTCCTTTAACACAAGGTTAAATATGAGAAAAGTATGCAGGCTTGAGAAAAAGAATATGGGTATTAAAGTAATTAAAGTGTGATTTAAAAACATGTTTTATAATTAAAACGACAGGGGGAAATGAACACAAACCAAAGAACAAACCGAAAACCAGCTCAAATATGGAGTTCATAAAACAGGGCTGGAGAGAGAGGTGTGTCAGAAAAGGGTCTTGGAAGCATGAGGGCCTGAGTTTGAGGCCCAGAACTCACTTTAAAAAGTCAGAAATGAGCTGGGCTTGGTGGCACAAGCCTTTAATTCCAGCACTTGGGAGGCAGAGGCAGGGGGATCTCTGTGAGTTCCAGGCTAGCTGGGGCTACAGGGAGACTCTGTTTCAAAAAGCCAAAAAAAAAAAAAAAAAAAAAGTCAGATGTGGTGGCACATGTTTGTAATCCCAGCATTGGGGAGCTGGAGACAGCTGAACCAGACCAGTCAGGCTAGCCTACCTGGCAAGTCCCAGGCTAGCCAGGGACCCTACCTCAGAAAATGAGGTAGACAGCACTCAAGTAACAACAACACCCAGGTTGATGTACACACATAAACATGCAGATAACCCAAAAAACTACAAAAACAAAAAGAGAAAATATAAGACAAAAAAGCAAGACTAGGAAGTAAATGTTATGGTCTATACTTTTCAATAGAAAGAAAATTATTTCATAAGAATGAATATCAATAGTAAGATTTTTAATGAAAATAACATTAAAATATATTTTAGCACAAAGTTACAAAATAGCTTTTCTGTCTGTTGTAGCTTGTGTAACTTCCTATCCGAATTATTTAAGATACATTTCTTTAAGAAACTGCAGTGCAGGGACATGGTGGCATATACCTTTAATCCCAGCACTCAAAAGAAAAATGCAGGCAGATCTCTGTGAGATCAAGACCAGGTGAGCTGGGGCTACAGGAAGACCTGGTCTCAAAAATAAAAACAAAAATAAAATAAAAAATTCCAAAACAAATAAAAAACTTGTAGTGCATAATTTGATCAAGGCATACAACTTTAGAAAAAACAAGTAATCAAAGCAAACAAACAAAACTCAAGGAGACTGTAATAATATTACCTTACTCCTCTAATAGTTCACTTAAAAAAAACAAAACAAATAAAAAACAAACAAACAACAACCCCCCCGCCCCCCGCCCCAGACTTTCACTTAAAACCATTTTTTAGCCAGGCATGGTGACCCATACCTTTAATCCCAGAATTTGTGAGGCAAAGGCAGAGGCAGAGGCAGAAGCAAGCAGATCTCTCTCTGTAAGACTGGGGCCAGTCGATCTACCCAATGTGGTCCAGGCCAGCTAGGGCTACAGGGAAACTCTGTCTCAAAAAAAAATAAAAATAAAAATAATTTTAAAAAATTAAAAAAAAAAAAAAAAGACAGGGAAAAAAGTTACTTTTTCAATTTTGCCATTAGGGCTTTGACCTATCTTCAGTCAAGGTCCCTAGGAAACAAAGAACATACCTTATACCTTCCCACAGATTCCGTATGATTCTATTCATCAAACTTAACAAATCCTACTCACCAACATGTTAGAACCTGTGCTTACTAATCAAATCATCACACATGCATCACGTAGCTTGTAGAAAGTAATTATATATTTATACATTAAATTCTGATACTTAGTTCAAAATAATCGTTTTGTAACAAGAATTTGTAAAAATGTATAGATTTAAAGAATTACATCAACCCAAAAGCTGTAAACTTCAAGAATAAACCAGAAAGCCATAAACTACACCCAAGGTCATCTGTTAATATGTAAAACCTCTTTTGTTCTAAATAAAATTTTAGATTATTTCTTTAAAGTTGATTAAAATGAGACTTATTCATTATTACCTACCACTGAACCACATTACTAATTTCTAAATGCTGACTCATAGAAGACAAGACACAGTGGTGACTGATAACAATGCATGCTTTTCTGTTTATTAGCCTGATGATTTAAAAATTGCTAACTAATTAACGATGTGCTAGAGATTGAATCCAGGACCTTGTGCGTGGCAAGTACATGTTCTACCATGGAGCTATGTCCTCAGTCCTGTTTAATGTTCATAATATTATACCTGTGTTAGGATTTAACATGGGTACCTAATAGAATTTATAAAACGTACATATTTAGTTATGTACTTTGGAAACTGAATTTAAAAACTTTTAGTTTTAAGAAATATAAAAATTGGACAAGAGACTGAAGTTAAATTTTCTGAAGGTGAAGAAATTTTCTCTGAAGAGAGTGAAGAGCAGTATGAGTGCCATAGAACTTGTCAGCCAGCAACACCACATATAGAGGACTAACAAGCAGTCACCACCGCAGGCACACACAGACACGCACCATTTGAGAGTCTATAAAATCCTGAAGACACTAAGCTGTTTCTCAAGAGATCAATGCTCATGCTTGTTAGGTGATGTATCTGAACAGAATGAGGTTGCTCAACTACAAGGAAAACACAGATGCATTAGCTATGCTGATGGCCTGCTAATTCTAAGCATGGCATGTCAAGAACAGCTAGTCAGACTGAAAATAAAATGCTAAAAACTCACTCACTGTCTTCTGTGGGGAGGACCTGCAGGGAGTAAATCCACTCTATTATATCATCTTTGTTCACCACATCTAAGGAATCCAACATATCCAGACCGGAGAGTGCAAAAAATGCAATTGTCAACCTAAAAGAAAAAAAAGGTAAAATAGCACCTTAGCTATCAAACCACGTAACTGTTTCTAGTTCAAAATTAAAACAAACAAAAACCCCCGACTCATTCCACTTTCAAAATAATTTAAACAACACCTCCATACCTCCACACTGTCAAGTCTGAAAAAAGAAAAAACTCTTTCAAGTTATTCTTAGTAATTACTAGTCAAAGACCTTTGTTTTAATCTTTAGGAAAGGGATGTTTAGGAACCAAGAAACCAATCCTACTCAACTCAGGAGTGTAGGAGTCCACTGAACCTGGTATATAGCAACCTAAAGGTTCAAAGTGGATTTTATTTATTTTCTATGTACATGCTTTGTTCATAACATGAGTTATGTGTGGAAGTGTTCTGTGTATGGGCGTATATGTGTGAGTTGATGCTGAGTGTCTTCCTTAAATCATTCTGCACTTACTTTTTGAGACACGGTCTCTTATCCAGCCTTGAGCTCACCAGTTCAGTGAGACTGGCTGGCCAGCAAAGCCCAAAGACATCCACCACCCCAAACTGGACTTTGAAAAGAATTCCCCATAATTTATCATTACAAAAAGGATGGGAAATAAATGAAAATGTTAATTTTCACTAATTTGCTAAGAGCAATTATGCTTGTAGTTTATGTTACTTCTTGAAGATGTTTCGAATTAGTTTGCCTTTATCCAAGGTCTGTTTACAAATAATGTGACTCCTTAGAAAAAATAATAAATTTTGGGATACAAAGAATATTTTAAAAAATAAATAAAATGCATTTTAATTCCATTTTCCCAGAGAATGTTCTTTGATGGAATAAAAAATATATGAAGTAATACTAAACCCCTCAAGACTGCATCAACTCTAACAAGTGTCTTTATATAGAAATTAGCATCTTAGTTGTTGCTTTTAACATGGTTTCTTATGAGTAATTACTTTTACAATAAGCTGCATTCTGTAAAGTTGTTGGGTATGTCCTCAGTTTAATACACATTATGACTAACAGTGATAAATACTTCAAATTATCTGCTCTAAAATCTTAGAGCAGAGCTACCGGAGGCAGGCTATAACCTTTTCAAGGAAGTCTCAAGAGAAAAGTAAGCCTTAGTGCCCAAAGGCATCTGCTGTATATAACATGTTAACTGTGTATCTGAACCTAGAATGGTATTACCAACTCTAAGAGCAATAAGAAAATATTCTTTATTCTGTACTTTTCTTAAAAGGACATAATTCTCTCTCTGATTCCTGGTAGAAAAGGCTGGCAACCATCAGATGAGAAGAACAGAAGCCAATAAGTAATTTAGTTCCAACTCAAGAAAACATTGATATATTTAGAAACAATTAAATGTCAGTGAAACATTATGGAGAGCCTAGTACCAAGTGTTGGGCACTGGGCTAGGAAACTATTCATAAATTATCTTGATTGAATTCTAACAACCCACTGAGAGTCATCTAATGGGGGGGGGGATTTATCTGAGTAAGATCAGGATTAAGGGCAGTGGAAACCCTTATGGGGAAAACACTGTCACAGAGCAGTTCAGCGTTCAGAGGCTGCAATCAAAGGAGCTACAGTCAGACTTTACTTTGCATAACTGTATGCACAAGTCAGCAACAAGTCCCAGGGCACTATGAAATATTTAATTAGCTCAGCTGAAGAGAAATGGACTCAGAAAAGCATCTCAGAAGAAATAACTGCAGAACTAAGTATTATTAGAGCACATTTCAGTGTTGCAAATGCTATGCTGCAAATAAGAAAAAAAAAAGGTAAGTGAGTGTTGTGCTAAGCACCTGAACTAGCTCTCTAATTTTGGTTCAAAAAGTAAGGGAGTTATGGCTGGAACGCAAGTATGAAGAGGTAAACATGACCAAGTTATGGAAGGCTTTGTGTGCTTTGTCAAAAGCCTCAAATATGATACCACATGATGCAAAGTCACCAAATAGTGGATCTTCACTGCTAGATGCATCTTTTAGAGTGATTACTGGACTTGGGAGTGATACTATAGTGAGACAGGGCCAGGGAAACCCTGAAGGCAGAGTCGATAAAGGAGTCATGTCTCAGGACTCCAGGACTGGAATTACTACCTGGTCTTGGAGAGAAGGCAGAGAAGGAGCTTTAGGAAAGATGATTTCTGCAATAATACTTATCATATAACCTGTTAAGATGAAGTTTTACTCATTTTTGAAATGTCATCTAGTTCTGTAATAGATATTCAGCCAACGCTTCAAGAGTAATTATGAGAACAGGAAAAAACATTTAAAATATTCAACAATTTCCAAGGTTTTTGACTAGGCTTAAATTAATCCTAGCACTTGGGAGGCAGAGGCAGGAGGATCTCTGTGGGTCTCCATAGCGAATCCAGGTCGGCTGGGGCTACAAGGAGACCCTATCTCAAAAAGACCAAAAAAAAAAAAAAAAAAAGCCAAACAAAAAAAAACACCAGATGAGTAAACCACTCAAAATATGAATAAATAACACTTAACTGAGACATCATTTCAGTTACTCATTGAAATATTTGTTAGATATCTATGAGCTAGTATTTTAACTTCCTGATTAATGTATCCTTCAAAGGCTCTCTTTTTACCAATGCCAGTTTTTTCAGTATTTCTGTTTCTTAATGTTGCTGTTTGATTATAATTTTAGAACAATGCAGCATGATTTTATATATAGCTCTACCTGACACCTACATAAAAATATAATTTGCTGCCAAAGATACCTGGAAATACCAGTAGAAGTGGTTATTCGAGCAAACCAAGTGATCTAATGTTTGGGGAGCAAAGAAGGAAGAATCTCTGCTATAGGCCTCAGATGTTACCTGACACTCTTAGTCTTTTGACTGGTAGAAGCTAGTGGTCTGTTAATATATTCCAAAAGATTTTATCTGTTATTCACAAGGAAGTTAGGTCAGATACAGAGGTGGGCAAGGAATGGTTAAGGGGACTGAAAGCAGCTTAAGATAAATTGTAATTTGGTTCTGAACCATTCCAACCTCTCCACAATCATTGAAGTGCTAATCAGTTTATCAGCCTTGTATGAGGTTCTATGGAAGCCATGGTTATTTTCAGGAGCTTTCATTCACAATTCCTAATTATCAGACTAAAAGAAACAAGGAAATGGAATTTTACAAAAATAGTGGATTAGAAAATACTGAGTGTCTAAATATGTAGCCCAAGTCACACATGCAATCCTAGTACTTCAGAGTTGCAGGGATTGTTTGTGAGCTTGAGGTCAGTACGGGTTACAAAAAAGACCTTGCCTCCATAAATAAGTAAACCCAGTTGTTTTGTATCTGTCAGTGAAAAGGATACAAGCACCTTAAAATCAATTATGAACCACACATACAACAACAAAAAAATTGCAAAAAAACAAAATGAAGACTAAATCAAGAAAGAATGAAAATTGTTACAAATCTGATACATTCAGCTATCTTTTAAATGTGATTATTAATGAGCCATAAGAACCCCCCCCAATTTTTTTTTTTTTAAATTCTATATTAAGGAGCTAGGAAGATGGTCCAGTGGTTAAGAGCACTTGCTGCTCTTGCAGGTGACCAGAGTTCAGTTCCCAGCACACACATCAGGCAGCCCACAACCACCTGTAACTCTAGCTCCAGGGGATCTGATACTTTCTTCTGGCCTTGACAGGCATCTGCACACATGTGCACATACATTCACACAGAAAAACACACAAAGCCATATAAATAACAAAGCTTAAAAAAAACCCAAAAAACTGCTGGGTGTGGCGGCACACACCTTTGATCCCAGCAGAGGCAGGCAGATCTCTGTGAGTTCAAGGCCAGATTGGTCTACATAGCAAGTTCAAGGCCAGCTGTGGCTACAGGGAGACCTTGTCTCAAAAAGAAGAAAAACAACTTCTATACAAGTGAGAAACACCAGCCACAGTGGCAAATAGAACATCAAGCACCAGGGTGTTATATAGCCTCCAGTGTATAATGGATGGTTACGGAGCCCATGATTTTATTAAAGTTAGTAAATGAACTATGAGTTCAGACATTTTAATGATTATGCTATGAGCAGAAATTAGACTCTGTAGTGCCAACATGCATTAGTCTAAATGGTTTCATACAAGATAGAATTTTGGGTCTAGAGAGATGGCTCAGCGGTTAAGAGCACTGCCTACTCTTGCAGAGAACCCAGGTTCAATTCCCAGCACCTGCATGGTGGCTACGAACCGTCCTTACAGATCGAATACATTGGCATTTTTAAACATGCAATCATAGATCTTAAATAATTTCTCGTTATGTAAAGTTTAACTCTTTAACAACCACAGTTTAACAAAAGGAAAGGCTTTAAAATTGAAGTGTTTAGAACTCATAAAATTAACTCACATGACATATTAATATGATCTGTCAACATTTTTAAAACATCTATCACTATATCAATAGTCTAAAGTTTTAGACACTCCCACCCCCACACACACACTGTTGGGGATTGAATCCATGACCTCTAGCATGCCAGGAAAGTAGTTCTACCACTAAATCACATCCTTATTACTGGAAATCTTACTTTCAAGTGTAGGTATGGGTTCTGCTAGCCAATCAATATTTACATAAGAAAGAGTATAAATTTCACTCTCCTCTTTAAATTTTATTTTTATCATCTATGTATCAGTACTTTGCTTGCACTTGTGTCATGCAATGCCCACAGGGACCACAAGAGGGCATTGGATCCCCTGGAACTGGAGTTAGGATAGTTTTTGGCTGCAGTGTAGGTGCTGAGAAGCAAACAGGGGTCCTCTGCAAGAGCAGCCAATGCTCCCTTCACCTCTAAACCATCATTCCAGGTCCTTACTCTTTCTTTTGAAAGAATCTGTTAGTCCTTTAGGGCTCAGCTCCCATTTCTCAAAAAATATTTTAGTGTTTTTTTATATGCCAGATATCATTAAAGGTTCTAGTAAAATGCTGTCCAATAAGACTTTGTAGGATGATGCAAATGTTGAAAGAAACAATAACCAGTGGTCAAAATGTGACTGAGCACTTAAAATGTATTGGGTATTCTAACAGAGGAACTGAATTTTAAATTGGATTTGAGAGTAAAACAATCAAATTTGACTATTCACAACCAAATTAAAGAAGGTTGCCCTCGTGTTATATAACAAGATAGAAAAGAATTCTATGTGACAAAAGTTATGAAAGAAATCAACCAATGAATACAGGATGTCAGGTAGAGTTCAAGAAAGGCTTCTGTATACGGGTATGATGGTATAGGCCTTTAACCCCTGCACTTGGGAGGCAGAGGCAGGTGGATCTCTGTGAGATTGAGGCCAGCTGGGACTTCTGAGAGACTTTCTCAAAAAGACAAAAAAAAAAAAAAAAAAAAAAAAAAAAGAATTTTCTAAAGAAATCGGGATTGAGTGCACGTGCTTGCTATTTACATCCGGAAACATGACACTAACACACAGCACAGAACTCTGCAAAGATGCTTGCTTGCTTTATTCTCTATTTCTGTACCTACCACAATAATGGTATTTCTTGAAAGTGTGTACATAAGTGAGTGATCTTTAAAATTCCCCCAAATGACCCAGTCATGCGGCAAAGTACACCAGAAATTCAGTTTAAAAAACTTTGGGAGACATCAGGGGCAAGCCAATGTTTCGCTGGGCGCGGTAACTCACGCCTTTAACCTCAGCGGACTGAGGCAGGCAGATCTGGGTAAGTTCGAAGCCAACCTGTTCTGTATAGGGAGTTCCAGGCCAGGCAGGGCTAAACAAAATCCCCAATGTTTCTTCCTATCTAGTCCCTGGTAGCTTTGAAACCTCGCTTCAAAACACAGCAATGTAAACACCTCTTCCTTGTTTCCTCAGCTCAACTCTTATTCTAAGAGTTTCCTAACTCTCTGCCAGATCTCAAACATTTGGCCAATTCCAAGCCTACCATGCTTTACATAATACTGAACCTCTTTAGCCTACAATTAGGTTCACAATTCCTGGAAAGTAAATATCTACACACATCTTCGAGGTATTAAGAGTTAACGGCAAAAGGGAAAAAAGGAAGTGCTGGAACAACACTGACAAAGGTTTTGTATTATTTTGCTTTTATGCAAGTAAGTAAAGAAGTGACTCTCAGAATGTAAGGAAACTCGGAGTAGAGAGGAAAAATGGTTGGGAAGGGAAAAAGAGGCGGAAACTGGAGATTCCAAAAGCCCTGGACTTACAACCGTCCAAACCTCCGGTTAGCTCAGGTCGCTAGGATAAGTTCAGGCGGCCAGCGGTGCCGAAACGAGGCTAGGGATCGGGGTAACTCAGGGCAGGGGAGTGGGGGGAGAGCCAGACCAGGCAGTTGGCGGGGGGGCGGACCGGGGGCAAGAAGGGACCCCGGGATGCAGGCCCCGTCCGGGCGGAGCGCAGCCCCCGAACACCAAGTTGGCCGTCTAGCCCCGCGGCGCGCATCCCAGCGGCCGCCCGGCCGGCTGCAGTCGCGAGTTACCTGCTGGTCTCCAGCGAAGAATAGCGCTCGGGCAAGACCTGGAGGCAGCGCTGGAAGAACCGCACGTGCCGGTCCCGGAGGAAATCCAGCCGCTCTCCCTCACCATTCCCCGCTAGCCTCTCGTCCTCCGTGGCCGCCATTGCTGCTCCGGAAGCGACGTCCGCTGTGATCCGGAAGCAGTTGGCGAGGGGCGCGAAGTCAATTGCAGCCAGCTTCGCATAGGAACCGGTTGGGATGTAGAGCCCGCCAGTGAGGAGGCTTGGGGAGAAACTGCAGGCGGTCCACTGAAAGTCTCAGTACTGCACTTTCTCGTATTTACCCTAAAGCTGGGCAATCTATTGTACTCAAAGCCCCAAAGGTTTGAAAACCATTCTTAGGTCTTGTGACCCTTAGTGAAAACTTTTGTACTCGTCCTGTATTTGGGAGGAATTACAAAAACAGCGTGGCATGTGCGCGGGTGTGCGTGAATAAGAACAAAATATGATATATATGTATGAACATGTTACAGTGAAACCCATTTCTTTGTACGCTAACCAAAAAATTTAAAAATCCTGGCCCTAAAGAATAGAAAAGGTTAGATCTGAAAGTGGAAATCATCAGTATAATTTTGCAAAGACTTTTTTTTTTCTTTTTTTTTGGAGGGTCACAGTTTTAAGCTGTATGGATAGAGAAACTAAACTTACAAATTAAAACTGTGAAGATAAATGTTTTGCTAGAGAATTATCAACACGATGAAAATCCAGACATTTTCCTAACCTGCTTTAGACCATCTGGAATTATTTAAAAATATATGCACAGATGGTCCTCATTGTACAACAGTTTGGCCTATGCTGTATGCTGAATGTTGGTGCTTTTAAAGTGAAGATTTCAAATTGGCAGGGAACAATTCACAGTTGATTGAAAGCTCTTGAAAAAGACCTATTGAATAGCAAAGTACTGTATGGCAGAGCTCAAGGACAGTATGGATTAAAAGAATTGATCAGACATTGGCTTACTTTAAGAAAGCTCAGTCAGTACCTTGGCAGATAAAAGTTATTCAATCAGAATTGATGAAAATCACAGAAAAAGATATAAAGACAGACAGCAGTATATGTAAAAGTGTTTGCTTAATAAGAATTTAGCTTTGCCTGAATATTGTACATTGACTGTTTAAGGCAATTAGACAATGTGTTATTGTCTACATATAATCCTTAATGTGTTTCTGTTTATATTTTGTTCACAGTTTAGACATATAGGTTCCATCTTAATAAAGTGTTATACAGTGAAGTTTTTTATTGCTTTCTGAATTTTCATAAAGAACAATCTCTAACCTAGTTTCAAACTCTTAAAGTCACACCTTGCTGAATAGAGAAAAGCTTATGTCTATATATATTTCTAGCTTTCCTCAGTCCTTAATTCATCTATGGTGACTGTATGTTGGTATATTATGCTTACAGATAATACATAGACTCCAATTCATAGGTTGGCTTCCCTCCCCCCCAGAGGGCCAGACAGTAAAAATTTTAGGCTTTATGAACCATATTGTCTGTCCAACTACTCAGCCCTGTAGTTGCAACTTAACTGCAATTCATAATTAGCTATAGGCACTGTATAACCAAAGGACATGGTGTTTCAATAAAACTTTATTCATACAAAACTGGTATTTAAGTTGCTTTAGCCGTATACTATTCCCCTCAAGTTCATGAGGAAGAGGACTACCAAGGATTAGACCTAAACTAGATTCTTTAAAAATCAACCAAGATAGTAGAAATTTGGGTGTACTTTTTTTTTAATTGTAGAAAATACATTTCTTACAAAATGTGACCTGTGGACTAGTATTATATTGGGTGATTTTTTGGTACTAGTAACTCTTATTCATAGGCATGTCTTGATTTATTTTTCTAAAAAGGAAATATTGCATGAACAAACAGCTTATGGGTCAAAGTTGTCCTCTACTTTGTTACAGTTCTTTCTCCTCAGTTATGACTACTCCAAAAGGACTTTTCACTGTTACTACAATTCAGATTGCTTGTTCTCACACACCTTCAAATGCCTGAAGGTTTTTTAAAATTGAGTTCTATCACACTCATTTAAATTACTAGAAATCTATGCATACCCCATACATGTCTAGACAATTCTTATCAACATAGTCTTTAAATTAAGGAAGCCAAATAGTTCATCTCATTCTCAGCTCAAGGAGCAGCAATATGATCCAAAGCTGGATTAAGCTTTACTATCTTGGGGGCTGGAGAGCTAGCTTAGCAGTTAAGGGTGCTTACTGCTCTTGCAGAGGACCCAGGTTTGGTTCCCAGCACTCACAGGGCCACTCACATCCTGTGGAGGCTGAAGCAATGATTCAGCAGTTAAGAGCACTGGCTGTTCATGCAGAAGACCAGGGTTTGAATGCCAGCACCCACATGACAGCTAATAATTGTAACTCCACTTTTAGGGGATTCGACGCCTTCTTTTGTCCTTCTTGAGCACTGTACCACACGGGTGCACTTACACACATGCAGGCATAACACTCATATACATAAAATAAAAATAAATCAGGGGCTGGAGAGATGGCTCAGTGGTTAATAGCACTGACTGCTCTTGCAGAGGACCCGAGTTCAATTCCCAGCACCTACATGGTGGCTAACAACCGTCCAAAACTCCAGTTCCAAAGGATCCAGTGCCTTCTTCTGACCTCAGGCATTGGACAACACTGGTGCACTTACACATATGCAGGCAATTCACTCATCAAAATAATATTAAAATCAATAAAATTATTATGGTGGACTTATTCAGATATATAATATACCTCCTAAGTAAACAATTAAGTGGTTAAGAGCACCAGATTCTCTTGCAGAGGACCCGGGTTCAATTCCTAGCACCTACATGGTGGCTAACAACCGTCCAAAACTCCAGTTCCAAAGGATCCAGTGCCTTCTTCTGACCTCAGGCATTGGACAACACTGGTGCACTTACACATATGCAGGCAATTCACTCATCAAAATAATATTAAAATCAATAAAATTATTATGGTGGACTTATTCAGATATATAATATACCTCCTAAGTAAACAATTTTTACCAAACAAGATATCTGGCATGTGTATGACAGAATTTAATTCCCATATAAAATGTTATTCTGCCTAATAATATTAGGAAGAGCCAATAGCTCAGTGTTTCAAAGTACAGGAGTGAGAACAATGATGTGAATGAGTATCATTTAGCCAATTATGTATAAACAAAGGAAAATATGTAAATGTAATAATATGATTATAGTACAGTAACTAACATGTACTCTATATTTTAAATATGTAGGTAAATACAGCATCTTGGAATTACATGCGGCTTGTAACATTTCTTCTTCATGAGCTTTAAATTTCTTATTGTACATTCTGAACCAGTATAAGAAATGTTTGAAAACAAGGCATTGTGGCACACACCTTTAATCCCAGTGTTCAGGAGGCAGAGGCCAGCAGATCTCTGTGAGATCCAGGCCAGCTGGGGTTACAGGAGACCTTGTCTCAAAAACGAGAGAGAGAGAGAGAGAGGGAGAGAGAGAGAGAGAGAGAGAGAGAGAGAGAGAGATTGATTTGATATCTCTTCTTTATATCTTAACTAAAAATATTAGTTGTATTTATCTTATATCCTTTCTATATGGGATTCATGTAAACCTCATTTATTTCAATTTAGAATGATACTTTTTAGAGAAACATCAATGCTTTTCTTTATTAAAACAGAAAACAAAACAGGCCACCCAGCTCCTCAGGGATCTCACTCAGCACCACTAAGCTCAGGGAACACTGTGGAGGATGGGGCAGAAAGAATTGTAAGAGCTGATAGATGGGGAAGAGAGCTATGAAATGCTGACTTCTGGACATGACCTGGCTGTTACAGACATCATCTCACAGTAGCTGTGGTTACGTGCACAAGACTCGCACAAGATCAAGCACAAGTCAAAATTCTAGCAAGAATGAGGCATGGGCTCCAAAGGTCCCATCCTTGGCAGAGGAGCTACTGGCAGTTGACGGCTGTTAAGAGGAGAGCTACTCTTCCTTTGAGATGGCTGGTAGGCTGCCCGTGCCCAGTGGAGGGCCCCACACCGAGGCACATATGGGCATCACTAATTAGACTCAGGGGCTCATTAATAACAAAAGAAAGGGAAACATGAAATTGGGAGGGAAATGGGGTGGAAACACTAGGGCGAACTAGGGAAGGTATGATGGTATATGGATATGCTCAAAATACTGTGGTGGTTTGAATGAAGTGTCCCCCATAGGCTACAAGTGTTTGAACACCTGGCAGTTGGTGGTGCTGTTTTGGGAAGGTCATGAAATCCCTAGAAGGTACAAGCTGGCTGGAAGCATGTCACTGGTTGGGGAGGGGGGCTTTAAGAGTTCATAAGCCTTGTTTCCACTTTCAGTTTGTCTCTCTCTGCTTCCCATGCTTGCTTGAAGATGTTGAGCACTCAGCTTTCTTTTCCACCTGCCATGCCTTCCTGCCACGATGGACTCTTAAAGAAAACACGGCTGGCAAGATGCCTGCACATAAAGGCATTCACTGCACAGGCCTGGTGACCTGAAGTGACTCTCCCCAGAACCCACATAAAGGTGGAAGGAAAGAACCAACTCCACAAAGTTGTTCTCTGACATTCATGTACATGTTGGGGCATATAAATAAATAAATAAATTAAAAGAAAACAGGGCTGGGAGTAGAACGCATTGGAGGAGGATACACTTGGTGGACTCAAGGCTCTGAGTTCAATCCAATCTCTGGCACCGAAGAAAATAAAGACTGTAAGAATCACATGAACCAGAATTCTTAGCTTTGATGCAGGGAGCTGAAACATGCATTTGTGTGCAATAAAAAACAATATAAGAAAGGTTTACCTTCCTGTATCTGATGTAGCTATTCAGTTCTGTTGTTGAATTCCCTTCTCTTCTACATTTCTCACTTGCTTCAGATTATTTAAAGAGTTATGGAAAACAACTAAAATCTGTGTTTCCAATCAAGGATACATTGACCAATCACTGTGCACCAATAACTGTACAATTGGAATTCACTTTCCAAAATTTGGAATCTACATTCTTTGGATATTAACTGTTGCAAAAGGAAAGGTTTAGACCATTAATCCTAGTAATTTTCCGAGTCATTTAGCCTTTATGTATCAAATTATAACTAAAGATATTCTAATATAAAATTTATAAAAGACAAATTTCCTATATTTTTATATATATAGTGTTTTTCTTATAAGACCTAATTAAAATTAGGCCTTAAGATTTTATACTATGAAAAGCTGAATTAAGTTGGGTTTTCATATATAAAACCTTTTTCACTCTTCAGTCCACAGGTCTGTCTAGCAATTTACAAAAATTTAAATTCCCAAAAAATAATCAGTACTTTAAATTAGCTTATTTCAGCTAATGTTTCAGAACAAAGAATTTTGCTACTTCTGAGGTAAACAAAAGCAGAAAAAGAAAACTGCAGCATCCAGTAAGATATAAAGACATAAAGATTTTATAAATCTATGAAGTCCAGAAAGGCTGAAAGGAAATTTAGCAATAGTTACAGGAAACCAAAAGGACAGTATCATAACATACGAATAAGGTATATGTAGTGAGAGGTATTGTTTTAAAATATCTCAATAGCCAGGTGTGGTGGTACACGCCTGTAGTCCCAGCACTTGGAGGCAGAGGCAGGCGGATCTCTGTGAATTCAAGGCCAGCCTGGTCTACATAGTTCCAGGACAGCTGGGGCTACAGGGAGACCCTGTCTCAAAAAGACAAAAAAATATATATATTCTCAATATAAAATAAAACATGCTTTAATCAAATACAAAATATTTATTATATAAAATGCAACAACTGACAAACTACCAATTATTTAAACTTAGAAAAAGTACTAAGTTATTGAATACCCTTAAAAAAGGAGCATTTTAGATTTGTTACTCAAGCTTACATACTTCCAAGTTTAAAAAGTTACAAAATTTTGGCTTAAAAAAAGTCTGATTGTCCCAAGTTATTTTGCTAAGCTATAATAAAAACAAATTATCTTTGAAATGCTTTGAATATTTAAATGAAATAACATTTGTAACAAATCTTAAATAATTTTCACATCAGTAATAGGCCAACATATCATATTAAATATTATCTTAATAGAAATAAATACTGACAATGCTACACGACACTTAAAACCTCTGGATTCACATATAGCACGAGAACCAGTTTGACTAAGCTAGTGATATTTAAAAAGCGTGGCTAATCACTGTCTCCTGAAATAGGAATATACCAACATTCTCATCAAATGAATAGCAGTTCCATTATCTCATATCCTTCTCTAGATTCCTTGTCTCCAGGTTGGAATAGCCCTAAAGAGAACAAGAGAAAAGCAATCTTAAGTACATAGGAAGATCAAAACAACAACAAAAACAATCTGATTAAATGGCTACTTAAAAATAACTCTCACCAACAAAACTTCCTCATACAATGGAGCATATGCACACAGAAGGCCACAACTGGCCGAGTTTTAGAGAATAAAAGATTGCAAAGTGTGTGTCTCTGGATAGGACTCCTATATTAAACCTCACCCACCCATGGCTCAGGGACCATTGCGGAAGAGAGGGCAGAAAGATTTTAAGAGTCAGGGTTGGTGCATAAACATAAGGAAACAGAGGCTTTCAGGCCACCGGGAACCTGCAACAATGGTGACAGCATATACAAGACCCATGCTGACTTAATCAGACAAAAATCCAGCATAGAACCAGGGAAATGGCAGCAGGCCTCAACCCTAGCTGAGGAACTATTGGCAGGGCAGCTGATTACTGCTGGATGAGGGGGAGTACATCTTCTTTAACGGAGTGACTCCAGATTGGCTGACTAGACTCCAGTGGATGAACTTGCACCAAGGGACAACTGAGTACAAATGCTTGACCAGATGGGACTTGGCATGTATGACAGAATTCGTGAAATCCAGTGGGGGGGCAGGGGGGGAATCTATGGAAGGGCATGGATAGAGGAGGGGGATCTAAATTTGACCAAGATCTATTATACGAAATGTACAAAACTCAATAAAAAATATATATGGCTGGATAAAGACACTTGCCATCAAGACTGATGACTGGAGTTCGAGTCCTGGGACCCACACGATGGATGGAGAATAGACTCCAAGTTATCATCTGACATCCACATACATACTGTGGCACACACACACACACACACACACACACACGCACTAAACATAACTTTAAAATACATATAGATTTGTATAGATTTGCCTTATCTATCTACCTGTTAATGTAAAATTAACATCTAGAAATTGCATAAAATACAAGCATGCATAAAATATAAACATTACAGATTTAAAAAAAATATTTTATTTATTGTTTTTATTTTATGTGAATGAGTGTATTGCCTGCATGTGAGTACACCTGTGCTGTGCAATGCAGCAGAGGTCAGAAGAGGGCTTCGGATTCCCCCGGAACTGGAGTTAAGGATGGCTTGTAGCTGTCATATGGGTGCTGGGAATCAAACCCAGGTCCTCTGCAAGAGCAGTCAGTGCTCTTAACCGTGGAGCCATCTCTCCAGCCCCAACATTACAGATTTTTATAACTAACATCTTTCTTCCTTTTTACCTGTGTGGAATATGGAGAAGTGGTCCAGAGTCTGTTGGTCCTATCTTTTTGGTTCGTTCTTCCCAACCTTTGGTGGCCTTATAAAGCCTAGAGGGATCTCTACTGACATTATTTTCAACCTGTGATCAGATGTAAAATAGTGCCAATTAACTTACATGAACTGCATTAAATAAGTAAAACCCTTAGTAACAAAACAGTTTTTAAAAATATACTTGATACTAGCCAAACATTATAACAAACCTGTAACTTTTTCACAATAAGCTCCTATTGTGCTTATATTGAAAACATCAATCTATTAATAAACTACTTTATTTTTTCCTAGCTGTATGATTTTATTTCTATTTTAATTATGAAAAATATAATATAGCTAGAATATTATTAGATATAATCAGACACAAATTTAACACCAATGAAGTCCACTATTTAATTCGTGATGTCACCAACATCTTTAGTTCTGAGTATTACCAGTGATTAAATGATGCTCACAGCTCCATAGCTATAGAACAGAGGTTCAGGAAGAATGAATAAGAGAGAAAGAGTTTCAGGCAAAAGAGTGCTTATTTACAAAGGATAATAGAATCATTCAAATAACAGTTGCTTAACTGTCTTAAGTTATGCATTCTACATGTAAATAAATATAAAATTTAAAGTAGATACGACAAGATAAATAGATATGTCAGTCTCCTTAAAATCAAGGAATTGGTATAATTAGGGATGAGATGGGGAAAGACTGATCAATGATCAATATTTACTGAATTAGTGGTAAGAGGCTCTGGAATGTGCTACTGTTGTTGGCATGACTACATAACAGTTATGGACTACATATTTCAGAAAACTAAAAGAAAGGATTTTAAATGTTTTTGCCACAGAGAAATGATAAGTATTTGAGGAGTGACTATGTTTAATCAATCTGACTTAAGTATCATGCAGCAATAGGTATTGAATGTCTCTTGGGGCCCCAGTGTGTACAATATTTATATTTATAAATTAATTGAGAAAATAAAATTTAAAAATAAAGATAAAGCAGGGCATGATGGCACATGCCTATGAGTCCAAGGACAAGCTTAGTACATAGCAAGATCTAGTCTCCAAAACAAACACAGAACACATACCTTTTCCTTCAGTTTTGCCAGTCGTTTTTGTTTTTCTGCCTTTTCCTCTTCCTTTGCCTGTCTATCTAGAATTTTCAATTCAAGTTTATGTAAATCCTAAGAAAATGCCAACAAAAACTACATTAAGAAACAAAATTAGAATTTTTTTCAAACTTTATTTGCTACTTAAGTTACCTTACTTGTCAATATTCCATCAATAGTAACCTTTTCAAACAGAAGGCTAAGCCCTTTCTCTTCTCTAACTTTAACTGTGACATACATAGCCTTTCTTATTGTCTAGTTTGAGATCTCTTGTAAGGTTTCATATTGCCAATTTTATTTTTTTAAATAATTTTTTATTATGAAGCTTGCTTACTTGGAAGGTGGGGGCAGAACAAGGAAGCATGAGCTCTTCTGTTTCATAGTAAGACTTTCATATATAAACTAAAAGGAATAAACTACAATTTCCACTTTCATGTATTTTACCTATTCTTTTTCGTCATACCTCCTTTTTCTGTTTTATGACTGTTGCTACTATCTATTCTGATGTCCATTAACAATTCATAACATTTATGCTAATTGACAGTTCTTTAATTTATATTATTGTGCATCTTAGAGTAATCTTGACCTGTCTTGCCTAGACAACACATTCTGCCTGGCTCAGGGCTACCTTTCTAGTCCCCTCTGATTGGTTCAAACTTCCTCCTTGATGCTCTAAGGATACTGAAATGTTACCAATATTTTTTTTTCTTTTTGGTTTGTTTCTTGTTAAAAGTTTTATTCAACAATATAACTTATTTAAACATAATATTTTTATCATTAAAATACATAAAAATTGGGCTGGAGAGATGGCTCAGCAGTTAAGAGCACTGGCTATTCTTGCAGAGGACCTGGATTCATATCCCAGCACCTACATGTTGGCTAACAACTGTCTGTAACTCCAGTTCCAGGGGATCTGACACCCTCTTCTGTCCTCTGCATGCACTGCGTACACTTACACACATGTAGTCATAACACACATATACATAAAATAAAAATAAATTAAAATACATAAAAATTAAAGTCAGAAAATTCATTGAGGTTGGCTTTTTTTTTTTTTTTTTTTTTTAATACGTCTTTTTGAGACAGGGTCTCTCAGTAGCTCCAGCTGTCCTGGAACTCACTATGTAGACCAGGCTGGCCTTGAACTCTCAGAGATCTGCCTGCCTCTGCTTTGACTGTATTGAAGGTTGAATCCAGGCTCATCACGCTAGACAAACATTCTATCACTGAACCTACAACTCCAATTCTTAAGATGACTTTTTATAGCAAAGTTTGGCTATTTAGAAATATTACTATTGCATTCTAATTATTTATTTGTATATTTTAAATTGAATTTTTGTGTATTTCATACAGAACATCTTAATCATCTTTATACCCCACCCCACCTCCCCACCCCACCCCACCCTGGAATTCGTGCATTCTGTTGTGTTAAGGCTTATCATGTCATGTTAGTGTTCCTAGATGCCCCTCGGTTGCAAGTTCATCCACTGAGGTCTAGTCAGCCAGCCTATCTAGAGTTCCTTCCTTTAAGAAGATCAGCTCAAAAAGAAAATGAGAATGTAAAAGATGTTAAAAGGATATGGGAATGGAGATATTTTCCAAAACAGAAAAAAATGAGAAAGCCTAAGCAAGTGATGAAGGTTTGTTATAATATATAAAGGATGAGACAAAAATAATATACACATAATCTTAAAACTTCTGAGGTCATACTTTAGTCAACTAGTTTAAAGAACAAAATATATATCTAGTCAAGGTTTAGCATATACCCAAAGGACTCATCCTATTGTAGAGACACTTGTACAACCATGTTTGTGGCTGCTCGTTTCACAATAGCTAAGAGATGGAAGGAACCTAAGTGTCCCTCAACTAATGAGTGGTTAACAAAAAGGTGGTATTATTTACACATTGGAGGTCTATTCAGCAGTAAAGAAAGATGAAATTTTCAGGTAAATGGATGGATATAGAAACTGTTATACTAAGTGAAGTAACACAGACTCAGAAATACAAACGAAGAACATTCTCCCTCATATGTGGATCCTAGCACCAAATCCTTTTAAATTCCTGATCCTTTTAATCAGATGATGCTATACAACAGTCCCTTCTGTGTGAAATAACTACCATCATCATGACTTCAGCTGAGCCTGATCACTAAATTTCATCACAATTGCGATGGCTGAAGGCTGTCCTCATTCATTAAAGGAGGGCCAAGCAGGGACATTGAACCCTCTCTGGATTATCCAACTGTATGTAATTTGACCCTAATCACACATGGCCTGCTGAATTTGGGGAGGGCTAAAGTATACAATCTGTTGAAAGCTAGGAAGAGAAGGCATGACCCATGCTGGGAAAAGGCTATCCAGTGTGCATACCCTCAGGTCATTCATACACCTCAGCAACACCTCAGTTATCTCAAAGCCTTTTCGAGGTAACTGACACTGATTCTAACTATTCCAACAGCTATCAAAATACCTGAAAGCAAATCCTGAATCCATCACTCTAGAATCCAGCCTTGGAAGACAAAAGAAAAATGAGGAGGAACTCAATAGAGTGTGCTGGCTCCAAGGGTTCCGTGGTTCCTGGCAAGAGTGCTGTTTGACAAAGTTCCACCCGAAAGCCGATGACCGCTGCTCTTTTGGTGGGTATCCCTTCCCCAGTTACTCCTGGTTTTGTAATTTGTATAACCTTCTCTTCTTTAAGTATTCTGATAACCAACTCTGATGATGGAATGGGAAACTAAACTGGGGAATTCTCTGCCTTTAGCAGAATTATTACGTTACTGAAACAAATTGAAAGTAATAAGATAGACAACTTCCTCCTATGACTACGATCTCGTTTGGACCTGCATTTGTGATTAATAATGAGGCTTGGTTTCCCCCAAAAGGAAAAGATAGCATGAAATAGATGCCCTGCTGCCTTTTACAGGAGTTTATGACTTTAACCCTAAACGAGGAACTATTGAGACTAAAGTTTGGTATAAGGAAAAACTATTTGGCTTAGGGAAACTCCTTCTTGTATAGAAAGAATAGCTAAGTCAGTAAAAAGCTGGTGGTGCATGACCTTTGAAGAAAAATTGCCTATTCTTTTACAAAGACTAAAAGCGATTCAAAAAGCCTTTAAAGATAAATGGCAACAAAATAATAAAGGATATTAAAATAGAAAAAATAATCATATGACTCAGTACAAAACATTCAGGAAGAAATAGCAAAGGGGAGAGGAAAAAGATAAATTGGATTATTGGTTAGACAATATATAAAGAGTTAGTTATTCCCATTCCCATGAAAAAAATAATTCTCTCAAATATACACGCCTATCTGTAAATATTAAATTCAAAGAATTAAAGGGCAAATGGGGACAGGCTGTCTTACACCTCTATGGTAAACTAGAAACCGCAAGGCTATAAAGAAAACAATGAAGACATTGCTTGGTTATGTTAAGAAAAGGTTAATCATTGAACTTTGTACTTTCCTTTTACTGTGATTATTGAAAAATATTGTACACTGAGAAATACTGTGCAACTCATGGTTTAATTTATGGTCTGATGCTTTACTGCTATTGTAAGCTTTCTAATTATGAATAAAGTTTGTTAAAGGCCAGTAGAGAAAAAGAAAAAGAGAAGTAAAAGACATTCGGGCTGACCTCCCCCAAGAGCGTCAGTCAACAGCCTCTACCGAGAACTGCAATTGTGGTTTCTGGTATAGTCATTTCTACCGCCGCAGTTACCTTCACCCCTTCAGGCCCCGGACTCACCTGGAGCTGGACTCCAGCAAGAGGGATGCTTTTGGAAGCCCTTGTCAAGAAATTTCAATGGACTCTCATATGAACATTTGAAAATTGCCCTGTTCTGACTTTTTTCTAGTTCCCTGTCTAGAACTTGTAATGCTAATTACTCTTGCCTTTACTTCTCCTTCACATTCCTTCACATCTCCTATTCACGATTCAAGGCTTTCTTTTCCCCTTAGAGATAAGAGTTATGCAATCTGTGAGTCTTCTAGAGAGACCCACTGAAGGGGTACTCCAATTGCCTAACCCTGCATTCCTGTTCAGCATGGAAGAAGCCAAAGCCACCTGTGTCCCTATTCCCTATTGGTAATTTGGGTAACCTCTTCAGAGGATGGTGTAATAAGAATAGGAGGTAGGAAGTGGCTAAGCAGTTAGGGTTAAAAGACCCCAAAGAAAAGTAGCCAGTTTCTTGGCTAAAAGTCAAAATGTCCTTGGGCTTCTTAGCAACATACTCTGTTCCAAAGGCCAAAAATGTCAAAAGTATTTGGGAGCTTGTATCTAATCCTTAAAAGATTTTAGGGTTACCACTTCAGAGGGGGGAATGTTAGCATAGCCAAAAGCCCCATAAAAATAAATAAATGAAAGAAGAAGAAAGAGTACATTAAGTTATAGAAAAAAGTGATGGAGAGATATGGGAGGAGTTGGAGGGGAGGGAGTGGGCATGGATTTGATCAAAACACCTTATATGCATGTATGAAATTCTCAATAAATTATTTATTTAAAAAATAAAAAAGAAGATCAGCTCTTCCTCATGCAGAAGTAATCAGCTGCCAATAATTATTGGGGCCTGCTGCCCATTTCCACAGTCCTGTGCTGGATTTTTGTTGGTTTGACTTTGCATGGTTCTTGTGCATGCTGACACCTCTGCCGTACATTTATATGAGCAAGATCCCAAAAGCCTGTAGGACTCTATTTCCATATGGTCAGGTACCTCCTCCCTGGCTCTTATGGTCTTTCTGCCCCCTCTTCTGTAATGGTCCCTGAGCCCTGGGTGGGTGGAATTTAATATGGGAGTCTTGTCCAAGGACCCACATTCTGAGACTCTTATTCTCTACCCTTAGCCATTTGTGACCTTTTGTGTTCCTGGCCCTCTGGTTCATGAGGGAACTTCACTGATGAAAAGTTAGAGATGTTTTAGTTGAAATGTAACCAATTTTGTTGTATGTATTTGAGGGGGCACTAGGAATTGAATCTGGGGCCTTGAACATGCTTGACTTAGATACATCCCTAGCAGGATACTGAAGTGTTCAATTTCCCCACAAACAACATTATTAATACTTCTCCAAATCCCCAGTCTCGATGTTCCTTCTACTAGGAAAGACCTCTCCTTTCTTTCTCCTTTAAGATTCAATTTAAGTATCACCTCTCTAATGCTCATAGCTCTGGTAAGCATTCTCCCTGTATTATCTACCTCCTGAAGTACTCTGTCCATAGCTTAATCGCCGTACTATTTACTACTTTATACTGAAATCTCCTACTTGTCTATCTATCTTTTCCACTAGACTGTGACTTATCAAAAGTTAAGGAGTTAAGCCTACTCATTTTGTTATGATGTTACACACAGATCTGATATATGAGATGTACTTACCAAACCTGGAAGTGATACATTCATGAATAACATTTATAAATTTTGGGACTATATTTACTCACTCTTTCCTGAAACCTGGAAATTTCATCAGCAGCCATTTTCCTTTTTTCTGCCTTTTCAGTCTTTTCCTTTATCTCCTTTTCAAGTCTCAGAAATTCTTCGTGCTCTCTCTTCTGCTGGGTGTAACTTTCTAGGAGTAGTTTTAACTTAAATTGGCGCTGGCGCTCTTTCTGCTGCTTTCTCTCTTTCTCCTCCTCCTCTCTTACCTGGGAAGCATGCTTCATTGACATTTCTATACTTTTCTGTTTCTTCCAAGCTTCAACTGCCAATTTCTGTTTCCTTCTTTGCTCTTCCTCTACCTTCTGACTATCTTCTGGTTTACTATGAAGAAGCAACAGTGTGTTGTCTGCCTTTTCTTTTAACTTGAAAATGTCCTCTTTTTTTTGCTGCTTTTTAGTCTTCCAATTTTGAATAGACTAGAATAATCAAAGTGAAGCAAAATGAAACAAACCAATTTTAATCAGTCCATGGTATTTAAAATACAAACTCAATTTTTTTTTTTTCTAGAAAAGATGCTGATTTGTAGGATACTGGGTATTTAGGTTTTCAGGTTTTGTTTCAAACCAATACAAATTTCTTTCTATTCACACTTAAAAAGTCCCTGTATCTTTGAAAACTCTGGATCCTGGGTTATTCCTTGGCCTTCCCCTACACTTAGAGAATATCATCCTCTAGTGTGGTTTGCATGGTAATATCCCTTTCCTCTAATTATCTTTATTTTGTTTCCAAATTCTTTTTATAGGTATAGAGTACTTTCTGAGAGATTGTTTCTCTTGTCAAGTATCAGAAGAGGAATTAAAAACAGAGGAATGTTGAGCTGGCTCAGCAGTTAAGAACACTGGTTGTTCTTGCAGAAGACCCGGTTTGAATCCCAGCACCCACATGACAGCTAACAACTGTCCATAACTCCAGTTCCAAGGGATCTGACAGCTTCTTCTGTCCTCCTCGGGCATTGCATGACATGGGTGCACTTACCTACATGCAGGCGTAACACTCATACACATAAAATAAAAATCATAAATGAAATATTAAAACAAAACAAAACAAAAAAAGAGGAATGAAGAGCATGAGTTGAAGCCAGATTATTTGGGAGCACATCCTGGCTTTGTCATTAATTAGGAGTGACTATACTATACTGCCCTCATTTTGCTCACCTATAAAGTAGCAAGAAGTAGTTCTTTTTTAAAAGTGCATGTATGCACACGCACTTGTGTTGTGCAGTGCCCACAGAGGACAGAAAGGGGTGTCGGATCCCTTGGACCTGGAGTTATTTCTTAGACCGTCATTCTTTATGGTGCATTATTCATTCGTTCATTCATTCATTCATTCATTCATTCAATAAATCCTATGGAATGATATGCAAAGCAAGTGATACGATTCAGAGATGGCTAATCATACTAAATACCATTTAGACAATGCTACTCAATATGCCAGTTGTCAAAACTACCAAGAATTCATGCAAGAATGTGTATCAATGTGCTTCTTCCTTCAATGAGAAAAGTTTTCTATGAAAAAAAAAACAGTATGAACTAAACAGTATGCTTACTTAATGGGTAACTAATCTCAAGTGATCACCTTCTCATGGTAGACCAGTTACAGTTTGCAAACCAATATCCAGTCCATAGATCAGCTTTGAGCAGCACATTCTAGCTGAGATACAACATGGGCATGCCACAGCACATGGTGAAAGAGCTATAAACAAGGCGTTAGTGAATGCCCAAGGGGGACTACTTAATTTTAGGAAGATAAGAGAAAAAAGCATTTGATTTAGGCATACTTTGTTAATCAAGGAACAGAGAAGGAAGAAAAGAACAAACACAAAATGAGAAGGTTCTCAAGGGCACTTAGAAGGTTCTCAAGAGCATGTCTGAAAATGGGGTCATCATTATGTAAATACAGGTTACGGTAAAGAAATGGGGAGCGTAGAAATGGTAAACGTTGTACTTAACATCTTAAACTTAGCAGATTTAAAAATCAATTCTGGCATTTTCCCTAAAGTTCCCTCTCCTCCCACATGCAGAAAACTGCATCTGCATTTTCATACCACCTCTACCTTAGCCGTAAATCAATAATCAAATATCAGGAAATGGAGCAATCTGGAATTGGGGGCTTACTTTTATTACAAGGAACACCATGTCTCTTCCTTTTCTATATACGGGGGTGTGCTGGATAGCTTTAGTTGTCAACTTGACACATCTGGTTAGAGGGAGCCTCAGTTGGGGAATTGCCTCCATTGGACTGGCCTGTGGCCATGTCTGTGGGGTATTTTCTTGATTTTTGAGTGATTTAGGAGAGTCTAGTTCACTGTAGACAGTATCACCCTGGGCAGGGTGTTCTGTATTATATAAGAAAGCAGGCTGAGCACGGGCCAGAGGAGCAAGCCAGTAAGAAGCATTTCTCCATGGCCTGTGTTCCAGCTCCTGCCTCCAGGTTCCTGCCCTGAAATGAACTGTGACCCAGGAGATGTGAGCTAAATAAACCCTTTCCTCCCCAAGTTGGTATTGGTCACAGTGTTTTGTCACAGCAATCAAAGGCAGAGTAGAACAGGAGATTTCCCAAAGCTGTCAAATAACCCAGCAAACTTGGTAAAGCATAGATTTGCTGGGCCTAGAGTTCTAGTTAGATCTGTGATTTGGGGACTGGGAAGTTATGATAGGTTCCCAGTAATGCTGATTAGTGATCACTTTGAGAATCGTGGGTTTCCAGTGCTTTAGAAGAAAAGGTCCAACATTTCTTAATGTCTTATGATTCTGAGTCTTTAAAAATAATTGATACTTGGGCCAGGCATGGTGGCACATGCCTTTAATCCAGGAGGTAGAGGCAGGTGGATCTCTGTGAGTTGAAGGCCAGCCTGGTCTACATAGTGAGTTCCAGGACAGCTGGGGCTACAGGGAGACCCTGTCTCAAAAAAACCAAAAAAAAAAAAAGGTACTTTAAAAATATTTAAATTTTCCTAAGTCAATCTCCTTACATTTGCCTTATTTTAGATGGGATAAAACAGAAAAGGTTGCCATGCACAGGACAGTATACGACCAACAGAAAACTCCCAGTGAGACTACATATGGAATCAATACTTTTTAGTGTGTGTCATTTGCAGAACACACGTCTTCTTGCTAAAGCAAGCAAGTTAAAGCTCATCATAGCTGAAGTCTATCCATACCACCACACAAACACAAAAATCACAACAAAATACCTGAGACTTTCAGATAGATAATCAATTTTTGTCTAAATTAATAAGGTTCTTAGTCAGGGGGGATTTTTGTTCCCCAGGAGAAATGTGGCAATGTCTAAGGACTTCTGTTAAGCACAATAAAGAGGGTGTTACAAATATCTAGCGGCTGGAGGCCAGGGCTGCCACTAAGCAGGTTACCATGCATAGGACAGTACACTACAACAAAGAATTATTTAGCCCCAAAGATGACAGTGCCAATGTTGAGAAATCCTGATCTAGATCAAAGTCAGACTAGTACTTTTATGAAAATGGACCTTTTGGAATATTTGCTCCAATCCTATTAAGAGCTACTCTCTTAGGGTAGCTAAAACTTTAAGTCTTTAAGTAATGAGGTTGAAGCTCAAAAATATCAAAGAAACTTTGAATAGTCTTTTTTTTTCTACTTCCTTTTGATTTCCTATAGAAAATCCTGTGGCCTTTGCTGGTAAGATAACTTTTTCCTGAAGTCTGAGTGGCTCTGAATCATCCACAGTTCTGGGAAGTAGAGACACAGTCTTGCTCACAGAAGTTTTATGGTCTACTGTGTGATTTCTTGTGGTAGAAATGTTTGGTTTTAAGAAGTCCAATTGTAGTTTTACTATTTGGGTAAAATTACTTAACTTTCAATGTCTGAGTTTCAACTTCTAGAGTATGGGCTAAACATGCTTCATGGAGTTCTTGGAAAGTTAAGGATATGGTTAAGGGTTCAGCATGGTGCCTAGAACGCTGACACATAGAATGAATAACAGCTATTATAATTACAATTACCTCTTTTTTTCTTTCTTCTAGAGCCAGAAATTTTTGATACCATTTCTCATGCTGCTGAACTTCATCCTGTGTTCTTCCTGGAAGGTGTTCTAGAACTTCTCTCATAAATACCGGCTTCCCTCTGTGTTTGTTTCTCACCTTTACAAAGTTCTGGTGGTCAATATCATCCCAGCCCCCTTGTCGCCCTCCTGTTTGCTGAAGGAACTTTTCAAACTCTACCACTTCTTCTGGAAGAGTACTTGGTGTTACTTTATCAACATGAACTTTGCTTGAGATTGCTCTGAAAGCTTTCCCTGTTTCTGAATTGCCCAAAGCCCACATGTCAATTTTTCTTGAGATGGCACTCAACTCATTATTCGTTGTTTTCTCTTCTTTAATAAGTTCTTCATATCTAAAGTTAAGAAAAATGAAGTTAAAAAAGGATTCCAATCAATTCATAGCAACCCTTTACTTTTCCACAAATTTAATTATTCCTGACTCCTTGTATAATTTCTTCCAGTTGACATTACCAATATTAACATATCTAATCCTTAAAAGAAGTTTGTTTCCTCAAAGGTAAACAATCTTTCAAATTCTTATGATTTTCTAGTGTCCAATTATGAATGCAAATTCAATTTAAATATGAAACGCCATCTAACCTCTAAGACAGAAGGCAGTGCTATGCTGCTTTTGTGTAAGACTCATTACACTTGTAGGCAACAACCTAAAGGTGAGTTACTGGAAAACGACGGTAAAACTTTATATTAAAATGAGTTTAAAACATACATTAGTCTCTGCTCTTCTTTAAAAGTGTTAATTGCATTTTCAATTTCTTCCATCATTTCTCTGAGCTTTTCAACAACTGTAAAAAAAACACCATGTCATATTTCAGTACAGCTGAGTTCATAATTAAGAAAAAATATGGAATGTTCCCCTAATTTAAAAACATTTCCTAACCTAAGAGTTATGAAAGCTGTGGTCAAAAGTAAACTTTTATGATTAAAATTCTTTCTCATCGAAGATATTTTCCTATACACCCATGTTATTAAATGTTATAAATAATTTTACTCCTATAAAAATTATGTCATACTACACACACTATTGTTTGACTTGCAATTTTCATTTAAAAACATGTTGTGGTTTTTAAAAATGTTCTGGATAGCCAGGCGTGGTGACACACACATTTAATTCCAGTAGGCAGCTTTCTCTGAGTTTGAGGCAAGCCTGGTCTGCAGTGGGACTTCCAGGCCAGGCAGGGGCTCTGAAGAGAGTCCCTGTCTTTAAAAAATATTATGGGTGACTTTTAATATAAATATAGTTAATACTACTATATTTTTTCTATGGCTACATATACTTCATTATCTAAAACCATCTTAATTTAATTTTTCTGTTGATGAAATTTTAAATATGTATAATGCTATGATAAAAATCTTTGCATATGTATTTCTGAATGCCCAAATAAGTATTTTTACAAAACAACTAATAAAACTTGAAATACTGAATAAGAAAAGGTTTGGTTTTACAGTATGCTAGCATCTGTCATACTGCTCTGCAAAGAGGCTCTGCCAACTCTTGTTCTCACCATGTTCCTTCCGTGTACTTGAAACCACTTCCAAAACAGGGCAAAAATCTGTCAAGTTAACTGACATTTTTATGATTACTAATAAGCATGAATAGTTTATTTAATCTGTGTTTTGCATTTCTTTTGATACATGATGCACCTTATAACCTCTGCCCATTTTTGCATTAGGTTGTTTATCTTGGTTGTTCTAATTTGTAGGCATTCTGTACATCTTATGAATATTCAACTTTTAAATTACACATATGCTTTTCTAATTTGTCTTTCAACACTGTTTATGGGTTTAAGTTTTTTAAAGTAGTCAATTATGGTCACTTTTTTCCTTTAGATATTTATTCTTATTTTTCTTATAAAACATAATACTATTACAAAATTGTTCCATGGTTCCTCTAGTATTTTATGGTTTCATTTAACTTAATGACCAATAGCCATTCTATTCCTATTTGTCAATTTTAGTGCCTACTGTGCTCCAAGGGCTGCACAAGGGCTCTAGCATGCTGTTTCATTTCATTCTCCCCAAAACCTATGAGGCAAGCCCTGTGATCTCCACTGCACAGTCTAAGACACAGAAGTTCAGAGATTAAGAACTTGTCTAAAAGCTAACAAATGACAGATCAAGGTTTTGATCCATATTTTCTGAGTCCACGCAATTTGAGCATTGTACTTTACTACTTTGAATCTTCAGGCATGAACACTGGAGCACAAGGCGGGAATTTGATTTTGGTACCACCTGTCCCAACAAGTGTTTGTCCCAGTACAGTTGAAACACTTCTTATGTATTTGAAATACTTCTGAAAGGTAATTTTTTCCCAAAGCAAATGACAGGAAAAATAATGGACTAGGAATCAGGAAATCAGCTTTTTTCTACTTAGTTGGCTGAATCTGAACCTTCCTGTATCACAGAATTTCTACCTTATGACATCTCTTCTGGCTATTTTATAACTTTTAAAGATTGAATGGCAGTTTAAAGGTTAAAAACAACGCTTCATAAACACCAGGTAATACTCTTCTCCACTACATCCTTATTAATTCTTAACTAATGAAGTAGGGCTTAGCTCCACTAATGCCAAATAGAAAAAAAAAAAAGACAATGTATTAGAAAAGCATCAATATCTCTAATAAGCAACAGAAAACAGCAGTGTGTGTATATACATGAAAGAATCTTCCACTGAAATTTACTTACAATCAGGTGTTGGCTTCATATCTTTTAGCTGATGTTGAAGCTTCTTAACATTGTTATGTATTTTGGCCAACTGTTGCTGTATTTTTGCTCCTGTAAAGAAAAATATATACTTTAAAATAATTATATAACACATGTGGTTACAATTACGATTCTACAGATTAAACTCAATACAATCAGTACAAGACAAGTCAAGAGGCTGGAGAGATGGCTCAGTGGTTAAGAACACTGCTGCTCTTACAGAGAACCTGAGTTCTCAGGTACCCACATGGCAGCTAACAACCATCTGTTATTCTAGTTCAAGGGGATCTGACACCCTCTTCTGGCCTCTGTGGGCATTGCACACACAGTGCACTTACATACATACAGGCAAAACACTTATATACATACAAAATAAAAATAAAAAAAAACATGAACATTTCAATAGTGATCATTTATCTCTAAACCACCAGGACACTAAGTATCCTTGCTCTAAATAAAACATCTCTCAATGCTTTCTAATATTTGAAAGAACAGTTGGTACTATAAACCTGTGATAAGGTTTGTAATGTGTCCTTTTTGACCCCTGTGGAGACTGAGTTACTGTATATTATTTTAAATGCATGATTAGTAACTGAACTTCAACATGTTTTTTTCTTTAAAAGTATTTTTCTTTTTAACTTGCTATAATTTATGGAAACAGAAATTGATTTTAACTTTATATTAGAAATATTAAAACTGTTGTTCTAGATAGCTTTGGTAGTCAACTTGACACACCTGGTTAGAGGGAGCCTCAACTGGGGAATTGCCTCCATTGGACTGACCTGTGGCCATGTCTATGGGGTATTTTCTTGACTTTTGAGTGATGTGGGAGGGCCCAGCCCACTGTGGGCAGTGTCACATCTGGGCAGGTTATTCTGTATTGTATAAGAAAGCAGGCTGAGCATGGGCCAGGGGAGCAAGTCAGTAAGCCTGTACTCCAGCTCCTGCCTCCAGGTTCCTGCCCTGAGTTACTACTGTGGGCTCCCTCAGTGATGAACTGTGATCCAGGAAATGTGAGCCAAATAAACCCTTTCCTCCCCAAGTTGGTATTAGTCAGAGTGTTTTGTCACAGCAAATGACGGGAAACTAGAACAACTGTCCAGCCAGTATTATTTGTGTGTGGATGTGTCGTATGCGAATGTGTTTATATATGCATGCACTGTGTGGACATGTATATGGAGGCCAGAGGTCAGCACCAGGTGTCTTCCTCTATTGCTCTCTACCTTGATAATTTTTTCATAAGAGGGTTAGAACTCAATCCTAAAAGTTTTTATTAAATGTATGTACGTATGTATCTTGTCTGTTTCCACTCTCACTGTGTTGAGGTTACAAGAAGTATATCACCACACCTGATTTTTATGTGGGCACTAAGAATCTGAATTTAGGTTCTCAGGCTTGTGTGGTAGGCACTTTACTAACAGTCACTTCCTCAACCCCTAACTAGTATTAATTCTATGGAGACTGACAAATTTCTCATTGAGAGTTAATTTCATTTAAACACACCCTCTAGGATAGGTATGGGTGGTACCAACTGGTGTGACTGTCATTCACTGGTCTCTATGTCACAAGTGGCCAAGCTTACCTTAAACCAACTCAAAGTAAAATGGTAGGTCCAAAATAAAAAAGTATAAAAGCAAAATAAGGGTCTGGGACATTTACAGATGATCCAGCAGCAGAAACACTGGGTTATTCTTCCATATTTTTTCTGAAGTAGTAATTATAATTGAAAATTTATTTAAATTAGGTTTCTCTCATAAATACACTCATATATATTCATATGTGTCATCATTGAGTAGTTTATGCATCCTCCTTTTTTGTTTTTCCAACTTTTCACAAACAAGCACAAAACTCAAAGGTTCTATTAGGAGAATCTTTAAAGACAACTTTTTTCAGGATTAAGAACCAAACCCAGGTCCATCTATACAAGACAAGTACTATCATACCAAGATACTCTGTCCTTGCAAATTAAAAAAAAAAAAATATCAGTAGTTTGGAGCTGGGCCAATATACAAATTCAGCCTCCAAAGATAAATATTCGATTTGGGTTCCATTTTAATTTTTTAAGATTTTTTTTATTTTTTATTTTTGGTCTTTTTGAGACAGGGTCTTCCTGTAGCCCCAGCTGTCCTGGAACTATGTAGACCAGGCTGGCCTTGAACTCAGAGATCTGACTGCCTCTGCCTCCCGAGTGCTGGGATTAAAGGTGTGCGCCACCATGCCCAGCCTTTTTAAAGATTTTTTAAAAAATTTAACTTACTTTTATGTGTTTTGCCTGCATATATGCAACTGCACTATATGAATGCAATGCCCACATAGGCCAAAAAATGGCATTGGATTCCCCGAAACTGGAGTTGTGAATGGTTGTTAGCTGTTGGGTACTGGGACCTGAACCTGGGTCCTCTGGAAGAGCAGCCAGTGCTCTTAAACACTGAGCCACCTCTCCAGCTCCAATTTATTTTACTTTTAATTATGTGCATGTGTGTTTATCTGTGCTGTGGTATAACACATGAGTGCAGGTGCCTGAAGAGGCCAGAGGAATCAGATCTCCCTGAAGCTGGAGTAACAAGCCAACTGATGTGGGTATTGGAAACTGAATTCAAGTCCTCTGCAAGAGTCAGTAAACATTAAGCCATCTCTCCAACCCCTGGTTCCATTTTTTTTTTTTTTAAAGCAACTTTCGAGCCAATTCTCTATTATTTTTAAAGAAAATATTTAATTTTGTTTTTACTTAAATGCATGTGTATGTGTGGGTGTGTCTGTGCACATGTGTGCAGGTGCCCATGGAGGCCAGGAGAGGCCACTGAATCCCCTGGAGTTGGAGTTACAGATGGCTGGAGTTACAGATGGCTGTGAGCTGTCCGATATGGTTGCTGGGAACTGAACTCTGGTCCTATGCCAAGAGCATCAAATGTTCTTAACCACTTAGCCATCTTTCCAGCCCCTTGGCTCCACTTTATAAATTAAAATTACAAAGTTCCACAAAAAGCAGCAATGTTATCCAATGAATTTTATAAAGATTTGCTCACTATTAGAACTTCAAGTCAAAAAACTTTTCTGAAGCTAGGTATGGTGGTGTATGCCTGTAGCTGTAGCATTTAGGAGGCAAGAAAGAAAGGATGGGATAATGACAAGGAAGGAAGTGAAGGGGGGGAGAGAGAAAGAGATTTTTAGCAAAGTTGAGTAATGAGGAAAATGGTGTTGTTTTGTTTTCACCATAGCTTGGTAAGTTATACAGTATCACTATAGAGCAATCATATTTTATCTGTCATTTGGAAATGATACTCTGTATAGCCAAACAAATGCAACGCAGACTAAAACCAAGGCATGCTATCTGAGGTAAAGAATAGTTACTTACTTCTTCAGAGCTGTGATACATGAAGAAGTTGTTTCTGTCTTTTTATGCAAATATCATACCATGCATTTCTTACTGTCTTACATAAGCATAAAATATTAATAACAAGTGGCAAAACTGAAGAATAAAAGTCAATAAAATAAAAGTTGCTTGAAAAGGGGGAAATCAGCTGGACATGGTAGCACATGATTATAATCGCAGCATTTGGGGTAGGGTGAAGGCAGGAGGCTCAAGAGTTCAAGATCAGCCTTGGCAATCAATACAAGGAGTTCAAAGGCAGCCTGGGCTACATGAGACTGTCTTAAAGGAACAAAAGAAAGAGAAATACAAGTGACATAAAAATTACAAATTTGGATCTTCTATTTAAAGATACAAGCAAGTGATGAAAGATCAGCCAGAGTCTGGGGGGGGGGGGACTGAGAGAAATGAACAGTTATTATGACAGCAAGGTCTAGCTTTCTCTATGAATTCAAGAAGTAATTAATATCTAGTATTTCTATTACATCCTGTTGTCATTCCAACAGAAGAGGAAGAATGAATCTTGATACTACCCTACAAAAGATTACTGTTTAAAATATTATATTCTGTGATACATAGAAATTAAAGACAAAAATTTATAGCTACCTTTGAAAGAGATGTATCTTTGCTCTGGAATGTGTTACTGAATATGTTAAAGCTGTAATAAGATGCTGCTTCTAATCAGGTGGTTATTAAATTTAAAAACATTTTTAAAAAAAGAAAAAAATATTATATTCTGAAAGAAAAAAATTACTAGAAATTTCTTTTAATTGGTAATAAGAGAGTACCACGAGCAGTCTCTACATAGTCAGTATGTTCTAAAGCTTAGTTCAAAACTATCAATTTTTCTGTAAGCAATGCCAAGCAGTCTTTTTTTAAAATTATTATTATAGAGTTTTTCAGCATGCAGACTCTAACTCTAAAGGTATTATCAAATTTTATTTTCTTTTATCTTTTTATTTTTTTTGAGACAGGGTTTCATTATGTAGCCCCAGCTGGCCTGAACTCGCTACATAGACCAGAATGGCCTCTATCTCACAGAGATCCACCTGTCTCTGCCTCCTGAGTGCTGGGATTAAAGGCATGCAACACCACAACTGGTTCAGAATTAGCATTTTATTTATTTATTTCTATTTTTAAAAATATTTTATTTATTTTTTATGTGTATGAGTGTTATGTCTGCATGTAGGTAAGTATACCTGTGTCGTGCAATGCCCACAGAGGACAGAAGAGGCTGCTGGGTCCCCTGGAACTGGAGTTACAGACAGTTGTTGGCTGCCATGTGGGTGCTGGGATTTGAACCTGGGTCTTCTGCAAGAACAGTCAGTGTTTTTAACTGCTGAGACATCTCTCTAGCCCCTTATTTTCATTTTATGTGTATTAGGGTTTTACCTGCATGTATGCAAGTATACATGTGCATGTAATGCCTGGGGAGGCCAGAAGAGGGCATCAGATCCCCTGGAATTGGAGTTATAGGTAGTTGTTAGTAACCATGTGAATGCTGAGAACCAAACTCAGATCCTTTGCAAGAACAGTCAACGCTCTTGACTGCTGAACCATCTATCCAACCCCTTAGAATTCTTTAAGGCAAACATTTAGCACCCTGTTGAAAATAATTAATGTGCATAACAAAAAAACAGCACATATTCACTGCATAAACTGTAAGGTATTTTCTCATATTTCATCTCATCATCATATGAACAGGACAGCTCTCCTGGGGCAGACATGGTAGGTTTTAGAGCTTGTACAACAAAACTTGAATTTAACAAATGACCTAGTATGATCACTTCAGCTAGTAAGTGAAGGTTCCGAATCTGCTGATTTTTACTGAGTCCAGAGCCCAGTCAACAATGCTAAGGATCACACAGCACAGGAAACAAACTATTTTTATTTTTAAAAATATTTCATTGCATTTTCTTACTTATCAACTAAAAATCAAAATTCTTTCTCTCCTATTAAAATGGAAGAACTCAGGGCTGGAGAGATGGCTCAGTGGTTAAGAGCATGGGCTGTTCCTGCAGAAGACCCAGGTTTAAATCCCAGCACTCATATGGTGGCTAACAACCATCCATTACTCCAGTTCCAGGGGATCCCACACCCTCTTCTGCATGACATGGATGCACTTACACACATGTAGGCATAACACTCATACACATAAAATAAAAATAAATAAATATTAAAAATTAAAATGGAAGAACTCATCTTTGAAAACAGTTTAGCTAGAATGACTAACATTAACTTGAAAGAACACTCACACATCCCTAAGACAAGCCTATCACCAACTAAAATACCACCACAGAAAACAAGACAGTTAATGCACGAGGACAGAGATGGCAACACTACAACTTTAGACCACTCAACAGTTTGTAATTCATCATGAACTCAACTTACTTTCTGTTTTCCTGCTGTTTACCAATTTATTTTCCAATTCTTCCAGCATACTACGCTCAATTCTGAAGTCACCTTTTTGGCTGTAGAAATGACTGTGCTTATCTTTTTCTAGGATAATAACTCTTTAGGAAAAGAAACAAATGATTTAAATATGACTTAAAAATATTTTAATTGTTTAAAATATGAAAACATTCAAAATAATTAGTATTTTACATTCAGATCAATTAATTGAAAGAGTAAAAATAAGATTACTTAGACTAATATGGTTAAGGGATCAAAATATTAGTTAAATAGAGGGTTAATAGTAAAGTCCAATTATAATCAACTATAATTTGAACTATTACATATTTCTTTTGATAATACAGAAGCCTTTAGCTATGAAGTTCTTGTTGTAAGATACAAAGCAAAACAAAATATCAAGGAAAAACTTTTAATTGAAGAAAGAAATTAATTTTCTCAATATTTGTTTCCTTTTTCACCAGAGTTATAAATGGTTGTTAGCTGTCATGTGGGTTCTGGGAACCAAACTTGGGTCTTCGACAAGAGCAGCCAGTGCTCTTAACCACTTTCCAGCCCCAATAATAGTTTTAAAAAGGATTTATTTTACTTTTATTTGTGTGTCTGTGTGTTTGTGGGTGGGATGTATACATGAAAATAAGTGCCCATGGAGGCCAGAAGAGTATCAGATCCCATGGAGCTTAGAGTGGTTTTGAGCTGCCTGATGTGGGTGCTAGAAACCAAACTCCAGTCCTCTGCAAGAACATTATGTGCCCTTAACCACTAAGCCACCCCTCCAGCTCCACAGCAGTATTTTTATAAAGCTCTCATCTATACTGTAGAGGGGATGTTTTGAATTCCAATGATTTCTGGTTATTATATCTGCCATATCATAATGTTGCTGACAAGAATGAACAGTCAAATAAATACCACTGGTTTATGGAAAATACATATACTATATAACAACATTTTTAAATAAATGGAAAGCTCATCATAATGTACAGAGTGGATCTGAGAGGAGCAAAAACCAAGGGAGGAAAATCAATTAAAAGATTATTTAAAAAATAACTCAAGAGCAGAGAGTTTTCAATAAAACCACTCACTGTCATCTTTAGGCAGATGTTCATGATATACACATGATCAAAAACACTTTACAAGAACAGTGCAACTCAGTAAGAACAGTGGCTTTCAGGGTAGCTGAGGATGACCCTACATCACAACTCCCAGAAGCTTCAGTGAAAAGTTGTGAACCCAGGATAGGGACGAGTCCTGAACCAGGCTAAGGCCTACCAGTGCCTGAGTTTCACATCCCACCAAAGCTTTAGCAGAAGCTGTGGACACAGGGTGGGGACTGGATCTAGCTCTGAGTAAGGTCCAGGCATGTGGATAGTTCTACAACTTTTAACAAAAGCTGCAGACCCATGCAGGAGACCCAGCTGACACAGCACAATACATAACCCACAGAGGAGGACTCAAGATTAGAGCCTCCAGTCCCAAACTAACACTAGATGTACAAGTCCCAGCACAGAAACAGAAAACCAACATGAAAAACCAAGATAACATGTCTCCTCCACAAATCACTAATCCCACAATAATGGCACCTAATGAAAACCTGAAAGAAATCCCAGACAAGGATTACAAATGAATGATTATAAGTATGCTCAAAAAACTCAAAGAAGACACAAATATACTCCAAGAGAACAAAAACAGAGAAGAATTAATCCAAGATATAAAAATAGAACTCAACAAAGAGATAGAGTTGGTGAAGAAAACCAAACTGAAATCATGCTGGAAATGAAAACCTCAACAAGCCAAATAAAAACCTCAGTGGAAAACCAAATAGAGTGGACCATGTAGAAAACAGAGAATCAGGGCTGGAAGACAATTGGATCACTCAGCAAAAGTCAATGTTAAATAAATAAAAAACAGAACTAGAGAGCGCTCTGAGACACCACAAAAAATCCTACCCTTTAGATTAAGGGCATGGAAGAAGGAGAAGAATACCATAATGAAGCATAGATAATATTTTCAATAAAATTACAAAACAAAATTTCCTAAGCCTAGAGAAAGAGATGCCCATCCAGGTACAAGAGGCCCAGAGAACTCCAAATAGACAAGACCAGAAAAGCAAGAGCCCATAACACATTACAGTTAAAACATTAAACACAGAAAAAAGAAAGGATATTAAAAACTGCAAGTGAGAAAGGTCAAGTCACTTATAAAGGGAGGCCCATCAGAATAACACTTGATCATTTAAAAAGAAACCTTTAAAGCCAGAAGGACCCAGAAAGATGCATTGCAAGTGTTGAAAGATCACAACTGTCAGCCCAGCAAAACAATTACAATTAAAAGAGGAATGAAAGTGTTCCATGATAAAGACAGATTAAAGGAATTTAAAGTAACTAAGCCAGCTGTATAGAGGATATTGGAAGGAATATTTTGCTCTGAAGACAAAGATAAGCACACCCAAGAAGTCACAGGGAATAAACAATTCTAGAACAATTAATCAAAAAAGATCTAAGAAAATGGCAAAAATAACAAAATTAATACACAAATTAATATACATTGTTCAATAATAACTCTTAATATTAATTATCTCAATTATTCAACAAAGAGATTAACAGGTTGGATTAGAAAACAGGATCTGCCTGTCGTGGTGGCACAAGACTTTAGTCCCAGTACTTGGGCAGCAGAGACAGGCGTATCTATGTGAGAGCAAGGCCAGCCTGGACTATATAGCAAATAGTGAGTGCTAAGCCAGCTGGGGCTAGAGGGGGAAAAAAGAAAGAAAACAGGATCCATCGTTTTTGCAGTCTCTAAGAAATACACCTCACCATGAAAAACAGATGCTACCTTAGGGTAAAAGGATAGAAAAACAAACAAACAAACAAACAAAAAACCCAACATTCCAAGCAAAATGGAACTAAGAAACAAGTGAGCATAACTATTCCAGTATCTGACAAAATAAAATTAAAATTAGTCAAAAGAGATAAGAAGGGTCACTTCATACTCATTAAAGGAACATTCACAAAGAAGATATTACAATTGTAACGCATATACTCTGAACATAGATGCACCGATTTTATAAAAGAAACAAATACCATTAGATCTAAAACCACAGATTAACCCCAACACAGTGATAGTGAATAACTTCAGTACCTACTCTCACTAGTAGACAGGCCATCCAGACAAAAACTAGACAAAACACTGGAGTGAAATGACATATAAATCAAATGAACCTAATAGATATCTATAGAACATTCCACCCATACACTAAAGAATACACATTCTTCTCTGTAGCTCATGGAATTTTCTCCAAAACTGACCACATATTAGGATACAAAGCAAGTCTCAACACATATAGAAAAATTGATATAACATCTTGCTAGATAACAGCAATAGAAACTACAGAAAGTATAGACTCATGGACATTAAACAACATAGTATTGAATGAAAGTCAGATCAAGGAAGAAATCAAGAATACAATTTTTTAAAATTTATTGTTTTTATTTTATGTACATGAGTGTATTGCCTGCATGTGCATAAGTGCACCTGTGTCATACAATGCCCACAGAGGTCAGAAGAGGGTGTTGGATCCCTTGAATCTGGAGTTATGGACGATTGTTAGCCACCATGTAGGTGCTGGGAATTGAACCCAGGTCCTCTGCAAGAGCAGCCAGTGCTCTTAACCACTGAGCCATCTCTCCAGCCCCAAGAATAAAAATTAAAAAATTTTAGAACTGAGTGAAAATGTAAACACAACATGCCAAAATATATGGGACACAATGAAGGCAGTCCTAAGAAGGACACTTATAGTACTAAGTGCCTACATATGAAAATTTGAGAAGTCTCAAATTAATAACTTGATGTACCTGAAAGCCTTGGAAAAACAAATGCAAACACCCAAAAGCAGTAGACAGGAAGAGATCATCAAAATCAGAGCTGGAATTAATGAAATAGAAATGAAAAATACAATATAAAGAATCAATGAAACAATTGGTTTTTTTGAAGAGATTAACAAGATTGACAAATCTTCAGCCAAATTAACCAAAAGAAAGAGAAGACCCAAATTACTGAAATTAAAAGTGAAAGGGAGACATTAAAACAGACACTAAAGAAATTCAGAGAATCATAAGGATATATTTTAAAATTTTATATTCCACTAAACTGGAAAGTTCAAAAGAAATAGATGAATTTCTAGAAGTATATGAACTACCAAAGTTAAATCAAGATAAAGGAATTTAATTAGATCCATGGTCACCAATGAGATGGTAGCAATAATTAAAAATCTCCCAACTAAAAAACCCCAGCAAGATGACTTCTACCAGACCATCAAAGAAGAACTAATACTAATACTTCTCAAATTATTTGGTAACACAGAACAGGAAGGAACCCTTCCAAATACCTTTTACAAAACCAGTATACACTGACACAAAAATCAGATAAAGACCCAACAAGAAAGGAGAATTACAGGATAATCTCCCTGATGAACAACAAAGACACAAAAATTCTCAATAAAACACTTACAAATCAAATTGAAGAATACATCAAAAGATCATTCACCACTATCAAGCAGCCAGAGATGCACAGATGATTCAACATACCATAAGTCAATAAATGTGATTCACCATATAAACAGACTCAAAGACAGAAACCACATAATCATCTCACTGGATACAGAAAAAGGCCTTTGAAAAAAATCCAACATTCCTTCATGCTAAAAGTCCTGGAGAATGCAGGGATACAGAGGACCTATCTCAACATAACAAAGGCAATATACAACAAGCCCACAGCCAACACCATGCTAAATAGAGGAAAATGACAAATATATTGAGAAGGAAACCATTGAAATACCATTTATAATAGACTCAAAAAGAATTCTTGGAATAGATCTAACCAAAGAGTTGTAAAAGACTTGTACAATGAAATCTTTAAAACACTAAAGAAAGAAACTGAAGGTACCAGAAGATAGAAAGACCTCCTATGTTCATGAATTGGTAGGGTTTATATTATAAAAATAGCCATCCTACTAAAAACAATCTACAGATTTGATGCAATTGCCATCACGATTCCAACAGTTACAGAAATTTTTTTTTAATCTTAAAATTCTTATGGAAACATAAAA